GGGACACTCGCCACATACAACTGCTAATCAGTTGGCCTTGGAGTGTCTGAGAAATATTCCTCCTGTCAAGGTCAGTTGTGTATTATTATAAGCACCTATGGAATTGATAACTCTTAAGGAATTACTTAAAGCCTTGGGAGTAGCCCTGAGATCTGAAACTTAGTGCAGCCTGAAACTGCAGAACACTGCCATGCAGTTGGCCAGTTCTGGGGGGTCCATCCATTGTCCTTCTCCAGGAGATCGTGACAGCTGAAGGGACATAAGCATATTACTTTCTTGCATTTATTCTTCTGTAGATGTGTTGTTCTTCTATATATTACTTACGCTACCTAATAAAAATCTATTTTCCTTCACCGTCTGTGTCTTCAATGCTTCTGTATCCATTAGAGGCAAAAATATTGCTCCTTGGTAATACAGTTGGCATCCTAAACAGGATATGGTGACAATGCCCTTCTGGAGAAGGAAAGCTGCAGAAGATGCAATGCATAGCATTGGCCAGAAACACATTCCCAACTGGCCAAGTACAAGTGCCTGGGCTCCATTAGCTCAAATATTGAACTGGTTGGTCCCATTGGAGTCATGAAAATCTGATCTGGCAGAACATGGGGGCCCTACACCTCGTGCTATGTTCAAGTGTTTACAGATATTAGGTATGGGGGAGAAAAGGGGCAGAAGACAATTACAGGAACAAACTGGGTCCTTCTCCCTGTGCTCTGTATTGTGTGGGAAAAGTTAAAAGCCACCCAGAAACAGGTGCAGCACCAGGCAGACCCAGTGCCTTGAAAGAGCAACAGACAGTCTTGCGGAAAGTACTGAAGGTGCCAAGAGGGGCCAGGACATGGTGGAAGAATAGCCATAAGAACAGCTGTTCATTTTGGTTAAATGAAACAGATAGCAAGTAAAACGGGTTTGTATGTCCAATCCTCATAAAGGGAGGGCATTCATTACTTCTCAGGAATGGGATCCAGGTACCTGGGATGGGGACGTGGGATTCCAGTGAGGGGGAGGAATGCACTGAAGGAGAGGAGGAAGAAGGTGGAGCAAAAGTATGATTCCAATCATTATTATGGCTAAGGGACCATTTGGGGATTAGTTACAGGCTAGCTGAATTGTAAGAGACAACAGTCAGCAAGTGGTGACTAAGGTTGCCAAACCTTAGTGTGCTAAACCACACCCCTATGAACTGTCAAGCCTATGACTAGTGCACTTGTGGGATTAGGGTAGCAATGGTATGTATATCAGTGCTCAAAAACTGTTTTTTAACGTGAGTACTTTGTCAAAAGATGCTTTATTATTGGAGAGCTGCACAAGGGGCAGCTGTGTCTTTCTTTGAATGGATGGCATTGGGGTAAAAGCTAGATACCTTGCTCCCATGGATTGGGAGGAACACCTACCAGTGTTGCATAGCATTCCAAAGGGAATATAAAAACGTTGAGATGTGGCCATGCAACCATCGATTTTTATAAATGGGTCTCAAGGTCCAGGAATGCTGTCATTTACAGCAGAAATAAGGGCATGGCTAATGAGAGGAGCCCAACCCCAAATGTATGCTGTTTCATTGGCACCGTTGAGACCAGCTCAAGGCAAGACTGATGGAAATGTGGGTATTCTTTTGGGTCAGTTGGGAGATGTCCAAAGGAAAGGTGATCCTACGCCCGGAACACAAACTTCCAAAAAAGAGAAAGACTGGCAAGACAGAAAGCCAAGTATAGTGAAGAATAAAGTAATAAGAAAAGTGTTTATAGAACTCTTGGAAGTAATGGTGCCTAAGGTAAAACAGATGGTATTCCCATGCCTGATTTGTATATATCATGGAAAAGTAATGTTATGCATATCAGGCAAATACCTGCTACCCTGATATACCTAGGTGCTACCGCAACAGCTCTGCCAGAGGAGACACTGTGCCCAAACTGACTATTCCCTGGTGGAAGGATGGGGCATACCCTTTGCCATGGATTAGGGGTGTGGCAAAGGCATGATGTGATCCCTGGGGTTGCGAAGAGTCAGACTCGACTGTGCGACTGAACAACAACAACAACAACAACAACAAAAGGCTAATAAAGACAGTGATAAGGCTAATAAAGACAGCCATTGACAGTTATATTGGTCTGGTGGCAATCTTCAATGGGTAATAGTTTTAATGGACACAGAGAGCAGCAACCAACAAACCAACAATTGGAAGACAAAAATAAAATGGAATGAACCAGCATAAAATATCTAATTATACCTCAAACCAACTTAAACCCAATAAGCAGAATCAACTCCATAACAACTCCAGCTGAACATTAATTAACCCATGAATGGTTTTGACACCCTTCTAAATGCAAAAAGAGAAATTGTCAGATACCATCTTGTAGAAGGTTATTCCATAACCTAGAACTGCTGTTAAAAATGCCATGTGAAACCCCACCAAACTTGTGGTAGTAGTTGAAGAAGGTAGTGGTTCAAAGCTGTTCAGCTCTTTAAAAGTCAAAATTGACCTTTTAAATTGGACCCAGAAACAAAATGGGATCCATAAAATGTGAGCTAAGAGTGATGTACTGTGGTCAAAGTAGCTTACCCCAGATATCCAAATTTTGAATCCGTTGATATTTTGAGAATTTTTCAAAGGCAGCCCTACCTAGAATATGTTCCAGCCCAGTCTGGAAGTTATGTACATGAAAAACTGTTTGAAGGATTGGATGGAAATCCCATATCACAGAATTAATCCCAAGTAATTTTCCCCCAAGGACAGAAAGGATGCAATGCTCAGATTCAAAGTAAGAGTCAGTCTGGAACATTCTCTTTTAAAAAAAATGTATGTATGTATGTGTTTGTGTGTGTGCACTTGCCTGGAAGTCATGGTAACTTCTGGTGACCCCTGCTGGGGGCTTGGATGTTTTTCAGAGAGGTGGCTTGAGTAGGCTGCCTCTGCAACCCACCTCTGGTATTCCTTGGACGTCACCTTTCCAAGTACTTGCCAGAGTCAGCCCTGCCTAGCTTCCAAGATCTGATGAGATTGAGCTTGCCTGGGCTATCCAGGTCAGGGCAGTCTAAAACATTCTCTTGACTTTTGCCCACCCACAGGAAATTGTAACTAATCTCTAGGAGAAGCCTCAGTAAATATGGGGAAATTATTGGGCCTATCTGTTCTTGTCTTCATTTGTTGGGTGGGGGGAGGCAGGATTTCAATTAAATGACTTTCAGAAAAACATAGTATGTTCCAGAGACAACAAGCTTAACCTCTCAGCCATAATGAGCACACTTCGGTAAGAGGAATATAGCTGAATGTCAGGGGCTGGGTGCAGTCACAGTCAGAATCCAGAGTCAGCATCAATGTTGGTCCAAAGTCAAGGTTGCAAAAGTCAGGCAAGGCAGAATTTTTCAGTCCGAAGTCATACACTAGAGCAAGCAGGTCCAAGTTCCAAGTCCAAAGCTGATCCAAATGTCATTGGGGCGAATCAGGAGCTGTAGCCACAGAGTTCACCAAGTGGTGACTTGTTGCCTCCGCATCAAGCAGTCTTCCTTGACTGGCTTTTATAGGCATCTGCTGGAAGGTCTTACTTGCAGCCAACTGCTTGGGAGTAACCCTGCAGCTACTCATCATCAGCAAGCAGCTGGCATCAGGTCAGGAGATGTGCACTTTGTCCTCTCTCCTGGAGCACCATTCTAAGCCTTCATCTCCGGCGCTCAAAGGGTGTGGATGAAACTGGGATGCTGGTAATGACCACCTGGGTTTCATCTGTTCGAAGGTGCTGATGGCCCTGTATCAGCTGTTGGCTGTGAGTTCTGACAAGGCTGCAGCTCATCTTCTTCCTTGCTGACTTCTGCTGATTCAGAGCTGGCTACACAGGACTCCTTTTCTTTTTAGGAGCCCTCTCCTCCCGAGGATTCTGTCTCTCCTGACTGACCCACGATACTGAAAAACATTTTCTATAATTACTACACAAATATTCTGTCTATGTTGCATCTACCTACCTAATGAGAAGTGGCATCTTGCCAATGCTATTTTTCCCCACAACATACCTATACTCCCACAAACCAAGGAATCCTTTGGAAAGTTTTCCCCCCCCTTTAATCCTGAAATTATCTTTGACATTTCAGTGACTGAGTAAAGTCTTTGGGCTATTTCACTTTAGATTCTCAGATGGGTGGTAGTGTTCTAGAGATTCAGTTCAGTGGAAAATAGAGGAAATATAGTTTAATTCTTGTATTCAAATTCGCTAAATGGTTTGGGACAATTAATTTCCAATTGTTTCCCAGTAGAGTAGATTTACTTGTACATTAATGAAGCACAGGTGTTAGGCCCCTGGAGTCTCTGTGCCTAGGAGGCATATTTAGGTTGTTTATCTAGTCAGCCGTAGGTACTGCAAGGTACTCAAGCTTGCCTTTAACACTTTATACAGTGAAGGTTTTTTAATTTTTAATTTTTTTAAAAAAATGCTAGCACCTGTTAAAATTTCAAAACTGATCATCTAGAAAGAAGAGGCTGTAATAGTAAATAGCACTAAAAGTTAGCGAAAGTCAGCTTCTATTATGCTTAACTGCCCAGCTTGATGTTATGAAGAAAAGAAGCTTCATTTAGGCAAATGTGTTATGTGAAGAAGTAATAGTCAACGCCATGCATCTTGGTTCCATGTTTTGGAATAAAGCATTCTTTTAAATAGGTACTGTTTTATCTATGGGTGAAGCCCAAATGTGCTTATATTAATATTCATTTTTGTTGTTTATTCACTGAACTGCAGTACCAACATTTTAGAGGAAATGGAATAGCCTCCACAGACATTATGAATTTCAGTAGCTGGCATAATTATAGTGATCTACATATTCATTAAATCCAGGGAAGAAATGTGTCCAAAAAGACAACCATGCGTTTAGAAATAGCACACTGCTAAATATATACATTTAAAACTTCCTTTCCTTTTGTTTACCCCAAATTACTTCATGTTATATTGCTTCTTAGTCAACTAAGTCTTTAATAATAATTTTAAAAGTTCTCTTCTCTTGTTTATTCTCTGTAGTAAAGAATGGGAAGAATTATTTGTAAACAACAATTACTTGGCAACAATACGGCTGAAGGGGATTAATGGGCAGCTGAGAAGCAGCAGGTTCCGTAGTGTTTGCTGGAAGGTAAGAAGAAAACATTTTATTTACAGCTTGTGGTGGTAATATATTAACACATTACCTGATGCACTTGAAGATCACTTGATGTAAAGGACCATTGAGTTTTCCCGAAGACATTTTGCGTCAATGTTTCTGTATCCATTTTTATCATTCATAGCCCATTTCCAAAATATAGTTGAATTAACTTTGCCTTGGGAATGGTTCATAGTCAGATGATTCCGTGAAATTAGTATGTTTTATACTGAGCAGTGCACCTAACTGCTAAGCATTGTTTGAAAAGTATCCACCCTCTTAGAGTAGTTTCCTTCAGGTTTGTAGAAAGCAACACAGTAGCCCTGACTGGTTCCATTGGGCAGCTTTTTTGATAAATGATTCTTTTTAGAAAGTTGATGGTTCTTGCTTGCCTTTCTAACCAACCAATGGTTCATTTGATTTGCAGCTATTTCTGAATGTTCTCCCTCCTGATAGAAGTCAATGGATCAGCAAAACAACAAAATTAAGAATGCTATATAACAAGATTAAAGAAATAGTAAGCTGATTTTAAAACAAAATTTTCATTCCCTTATTCCATATTTAGATATGTCTAATTGAGAGAGTCTAAAATGTAAGGTCTTGTTCCCATCTGCAGCATATTACAAATCCCAGGAAAGCTGGACAGCAAGACTTGATGATCAACAACCCACTTTCACAGGATGAAGGGGTAATCAAAGCCTTTCTGTCATCTGCTGAGTGTACAACGGACGTTTGATATCTGTACCCCTTAATAAGGTTCAGAGTGCATAAACCTTATCATGTGTGATTTGTCCAAAGAAGATTAAATGAGGTTGTAATGTGCTGTTGATAGACACTGAAATTGCTATAACCCACATCATGCCATTGTGGATTGCAACAAGGATGGGGGAGTAGGCAACTGGGGGGCGGGGGGGTTGGCAAATGACCTTTCACAGCAATCTAGTCAAGTTGTATCCTAGCTGAAATTCTAAAACTATGGAACAATAATAGAAAGTAACCATATGAAGCAAAACCAAAATAAAATAGCATATATTTAGAGATAAAGCAGTAAGATATTCATCCTCTAGAGATCCAAAGTCTAGTTTTACAGCATCCTGAATCCAGGTCTTCTGGGACCCCAGTCATTCGTATAGGGACTGGTTGCTTATCAAAAGTATCTGGTGGCCAGATAAACAATACTAAGCAAGGGGATGATTAATCTTTGTGGAAACTCTTCGCTATTTCCTCATTCAGTAGGAGCAGTGATTATTATGCCTGTTGTCATACTGTCCTATCTTCCCAAGGTCAGCAAGTTCCTCCTCTTAATTCCTAATACATATACCAAGCTTTATGGAGGCTTTAGATACATGTTTTCTACTTGCCTTGGTTTGATTTGTTTGGGGGGGGGGTTGTCCACTTTATTCAATGCCACCTTTAAGTCCAGTATTCAAGTAGCCAAGTGAAAACAGCTATTGAACTTAATACTCTATCTCTAAACTCACAAAAAGAGTTGAAGATGCTCTTCTCTACAAGTGGAGCATGCTGCGCATTCAGTCGCTCTCAGCTGATGATGTCTTGATGAGCAAGAGATCAGAGCTGGGACTTTGTTTCATTCCCTCAGAGAGTTGCCACCTGTTCTTATTCATTTAAAATAAATGTTAGTCATCAGCTCTTTTATTTAAACATTTCTGCAATTTTAAAAAACAGCTGAATATACCATGATTAATTCTTCCAGTGAATATCAAGTGGAACCAGTAATGTTGATATATTGCCTGTTGAACTAGCATCTCTTATTATTTTTAAAGCCATATACACTGCTTAAGGGGCAATATTTGGATGATCTAGCTGACCACATGCTAAGAAACATTTTGGGATGGTTCTTGTTTCCTGTTACTTTCTAGTGAACTAAGCTATTTTATTTAAACTTTTCATGAATACTGATCAGGGCCTCTTGCAAATGTTTGCAGCTGTGGCATTGTAAAAATATCTCAGGAATGGCTGTTGGCCTTAATTGGACAATATAGCTATACAGCAGTTCTGTAAATGTTTTTGTTTCAGAGTTAACACACAGGCTGCAATTAGATGTTGGGGGAGACATATGCACACCTCCCTTTCTCTCATCACTGGTAATGTATAGAAATGCAAAATGTTAGATGTGACATCACCTTGCTATAACATTTCCTCCCACCCCCAAATTATAGCCAATAAAGTGATAGCAAAGTGATGTCACATCACATGTTTTGTATTACAAATATTACTGGCAGGGAGAGGAGGAAGGAGGTGTGCAGTGCTGTTTTTGGCAGCAACAATGCATCTGCTATAAAGTCTAGTTTCAGTCTTATACAGGTGGGCAACTGATTCCACACTCAAACCTATTAGAAATATTTGACATTACAGCTTCAAAATTTGCCTGCATTTATGCAAGTTACAAACAGAGAAAGTATAAAGATCAGCTGAGAAGAATTCAACCATGGAGTCGCGAGCTAGAGTTACCACTCAGCAAGAGATTTCAAAACTGGATTAGAGACTGTACCAAAAGTACAATTCCAGTAATTTCCATATCTTAGCAGAATTGGGATCCTTCAGTACAGATTTTAGATCCTTCAGTACAGAAATCTCAGAATCTCAGGCCAGTTAGAACAGAAATTAGGAATATATTCATGGTGCAGTCCAGAAACCACTTGCTGACCCAGCGCCAAAGGGGACGAGGAGGTGGCGAGACACCACTCAGTCACTCCCACATTGCAAGAAGACAACACACAACCTTCTGGATTTGAAAATGGCCACAACTTTATAGCTTAACGCAGCTGCAAGAGCCTTGGCACAGCATGGAGCTAACAAATCCAGGCATCGGCCAACCTGCCTGCCGGCTTATGAGAAACCCCACTCCTGTCCCCAGCCCACCTGCTGGGGAGGGTTATCAGGGGATGGCAGGATGCTGGATTCCATGTGGACAGTAGCTACTGTGTGGACTCCCCTGCCACTTGAGATTGAGGGTGCCTTGACAGCCTCCAAACTGGACATGCCCTTTGAAGCCCTCACCCCAAAATTCCTTAAGGGGATCCCTCAAATTTGGGGGAAATGGGCACACAGTCTGCCTTTCCCCCAAAATAAATCTGGCCCCATGCTGTTACTGCCAATGCAGTTGTGACAGAAAAGGAACAGAAACAGGAAAATCAAAATCCCAACATAAACATCACACCCGAAAAGACACACATGCAACACAAGCATAAAAGAGAGGGAGGGTGGACAGGCAAAGCTATGAGGCCAACTGAGGCCTGTGCAATGCAGCGAGCCATTAAATCCTGGTTGGGCTCACCACTACCAGCCACGTCAGGCCATGCCTAATTGCCTTGGTGGGTGAAGAGCACCACACAGACACAGGGCCTGCCGCTTGCTTCCTAGCCCCGCCGTCCAGGCCCCAGCCTGAACCAACATGTTGCTTCCTCCCCCCCACCCCTGACAGGGCTGCAAACAGGTCCCAAAGTAAGTCTGGTGCCCCAGCTTTCCTGAGAATAAGCTCCATTGAATAGACCTGAGTAGGTTCTGAGGTGGCTTACTTAGGATTGCTCTCAGAAGGTCCATGAGGCAAAAGAAAACCAGATGTGTGGTTTTGCTACATCATGTCATATACTTATTTATATAAAATAAATATACTTTGTGTTTGTCACTGTGCTAGATAAACTGCCTTTGCTATCGTATAAACAATTTGAAAATTAGAACTTGTCTATTAACCAGATGTTTCTACCATGGAATATTCTCTTTTTGTGTGTGTGTGTGTTCTGCTTTTATTAATGCACTGCTTATATAGACTTCAGTAAGTAGCTCCAGGGCCCAGATAAAATCTACTATTACTATAGAATTATTCCCACCACTTTGTGATTCCAGTGGCATGTTAGTAACTTTCTCAGATTGTGATTTCTAATTCCATTTATTGTTACCTTATGAAATTTGATCAAAAGTGTAAAAATTTGCAAGCTGTGACCTTCACTAAGACCACCTAGTTCCAGCCTGATAAATGCATCATGTTTACAATTTGTACAATGTGTATACAAGCCATCACCATTCTCCTTTGGTTTTCTAGAGTCTCTGGAACAAATTTTTTCAGGACAAAGAACTTCGGGGAATGATTGAACAAGATGTGACAAGAACGTATGTGGTGCTGTTAAACAGTTGTAAAATTTGTATCATGATCTAGCTGTTGTACAATCTGAATAGCCAACTTTTTGCTTACAGGTCACATCCAGCTGACCAACATCTTTACATTTTTGCCCCATGTTTCACCAAATGTCTGTGTGTGCTATGTGCCATCAGATTCTGACATTCCAACCCTATAATGACTTCCAGAACATCTTATCACTGATGGTCTTGCTGGGGCCTTGCAAACTGAAGGCCATGGCTTCCTCTATTGAGTCAATCAATCTCATGTTGGACCTTCCTCTTTTCCTGCTACCTTCTACTTTTCCTAGCATTATTGCATTTTTCACTGAGTCTTGTGTTCTCATAATGTGACCCAAGTTGGAGTCACTTTACTTTATTATTATTACGGTCAATAGACCAGGTATATACATACAGTTATGTTTTTTAATTGCATACAGAATGCAAAATATACAAAATAAAAAGATTAAATTTTGAAACCTAATTAAAATATAATTTCCAAAGCCTAAGTATCATTACACAAAATCTAGCTACTTGATAGATCTTAAGTTTCTTATCAATAAAAGGCAATCAAGCCTGGCTTCATTTGTGCAACCAGGAATCTTATTCAGCAACAGGGTAATGATCTCCAAACAAGCCTCCTTATAATATGGGCAACAAAAGAACATATGCTCAATGGACTCAACCTTCATTAATGGGCAAGTGTATAACCTCTCTAGGTAATGGATTTCTTATACCTGCCTTCGAGCACTGCAGAGGGGAGTGCGGAACTCCTTGCCAAGGTGAACGCCCTTCTAAAACTATTTACTTCCAAGGAAGCCAAATAAGTTGATGTTGGAGTTGGTTTTGTGATGTTTAGTGGGCCAGATGCAGCCTATATAGTTAGATATCTGTTCAGTTTAAAATTTCTAGGCCATTTTTTGATGGAATCAGGTCTTGTAGGTGAATTACATTAATTCTTTCAGTGTGGAATATGGGCACAGGGCTTGCCCAACAGGATTTTAGGTGGTTTAAGAAAAAGAGGGAAAGTATATACCACAGTCTCAATTAGTAAGGGATGTCTTAAGTGTGTCTTGCTTGAGGCCTTGATGAGATATTTAATTTAATTTAAGATATGTATTTAAGATACCTTGGAGCCATTGAAGAGAGTTTGTTATGGATTACGAGATTTTACATTAGATTTTCTGAAAGACAGTTTCAGTGTGGAGGGAAAAAATAATAAGAGGAACTGACATCTTGTGACTAAATTATGTTTATAATACAAGACTGAACAGATGATTTTCTGTAATTCTTAACACTTAATCAATAAAAAATGACGTGCAATTAGTGAGAATTGTCATTCATCGAGAGGAATTTAGCATTTCTATTTTTGTGTATCATATTCCTACTGTCAGAGTTCCATTTTTAAGATGTTCTTTAGTACCGTAATGAGTATTATTTAATATCTTTAGCCCTTATGTCATTCCTGTTAAGGAACTTACCAAAGCTAGAACTCAATTCTGAAAAATATTTTGGAAGAGTTAAAAGAGTGATTGCATCAAGTAACTCCAATTAAATTTGGTTACAATATATAGCATATTACTATTCTATGTGTAGCATATCCTCATTTTGAATTTTGGGATACAAATTTGATTCTCATGGATTTTAAAATGCAGAGTTCGATATGACACAGTTTTCCTTCATAGTGTAGGTGGATGGGAAAGACCAAAACAATGCATAGGAAATATTGATATCTTTTATTGCTTCATTTTGTATGCCCATGCCCTGATGTATTTTCAAATGTATTTATGCTGTTAGATGTATAATTAAAATCTGAGTGTTCTTTGATGTAAATTTTCACAGATGGCACTTTTTAAAAAATAGGAACCGTTCAGGGTGTTTAAGATTATATAAATAAGTTCTAAATGGGGGATTAAGGTTGGGATACTGCTAGTTATGGTGCCATTGTAAAAAGAACATAGGTTTCAAACAGCTTTCACTTTGGCAAATGGAATGATGGGTTTGCTGGGTATGTGATCTTCTTTTTAAAAGAATGCTGGTTAATGGAAACTGTCTGTTTTCAGATGACAGGGTTATCCTTCAAATTTAATCACATCATACTTCCTGCAGTTTTCAGTTTTTCCCTTTCCACTGTCCACCACTGCATGCCTACAGAAAAAGTCATTAACTATTTTGCAACACTGCATCTTAGTTTGTGTGCATTGTGTAAGATAGTGAGTGACAGTGTGGGAAGCTGTTTCTGTTCCTTCTGCCTCTCTGTTGTGAAAAACAAGTACTATTGATTTCAGATGAACTTGTTTGGTTGTAAATTGCCATCAGGTCACAGCCAACTTAGGGCAACCCCAGCAAGGGGCTTTAAAGGCAAATGAGAAGCAGAAGTAGTTTGCCATTGTCTTCCTTGATGGTCTCCCTTCCAAGTACCGGCCTTGCTTAGCTTCTGAGATCTCACGAGATTGGGCTATACCATGCTGCATTTCCTCCCAATCAGTTGAATTTTCTTCTGCCTAATGTGAATGGGATTTCATGGAGGATCCTAGTCTTAGACAAATTCTTGGGAAACTGGAAGTGTAACCTTGCTGGAAGTGTAACCTAGCTACACATCCATTTGAATTCATGCAAGTCACATAAAAATACAAGTATCTCTTGTGTTGAAAAATTGTTTGTGGGAAGTTTGTGGGAAATAAGCCTTAGAAGGTAGCTAGTACTTTATTTAAAATATAAATATAGTATTTCTTAGGGCAGGGGTGTCAAACATGTGGCCCAGGGGCCAGATCAGCCCCCCAGAGGGCTTCTGTCAGGCCCGCAGTGGAACTGGCTATCTTCTGCTGCTTCTTCCAGTTCTTCTGCTGCTGTATCATCGTAGGTTTGCAGCTTACAGATACCCACCTGAACAACATACTCAGGATTGCAACAGCATAGACATTTTGATGCAAGAATTCAGAGCAAGAGGTGTCAGTTATCAGACACTGTTAAATAAACAAAATATTACAAGAGTGCTAATGTTTTAATCATGTTTTAATTTTAAGTAACAAAACCTTTGTGTTTGTGTCCTTTATAAAGTTTATATCTCCGCTACCTGGCATTACATTTTATGACACACATGGCCCGGCCCAAATAACAAATGAGTTTGACACCCTTGTCTTAGGGTCTCAAAATGTAAAGAAAAAAAGAGACTAAATTGAAAATAAAGAAAGTAGTAACTGGTCAGGCTGCTAAAAGAACCTATTGTATAATCAGTCAACAAACTAAAACTGGTGAGTTTTGTGGTCTACATCAATTATATTTTTCTTCTTCAGGTTTCCTGAAATGCAGTATTTCCAGCAAGAGAATGTGAGAAAGATTCTTACAGATGTTCTCTTCTGTTATGCTCGGGAAAATGAGCAGTTACTTTATAAACAGGTAATGAAACCAGCATACAGGTGGTATCCATTGCCTCAAAATTTGGGGGGATTTTTTCCCCCACGCGGTTTGACAATTGATTTGAACAAAAATGTAGGTTGTATTATCTCCAAAGTTGTGTGCTAAAGCTTAGGCAATCAAAGAACTGCTTGTTAACTCTGTGGTAAAGAAAACAAGCCATTCATGCACATATGCTTCCCACAAAGGTAAGACGTTCCCTCAGATTGTTTTCTTTAGTGCCTCTAAATCTTATTTTCTAACTTCTTAAAAGTTTTTTTAAAAAAACTTTTTATTGTAATTTAACTAATAAAAGCCTTTTAGTCTATATTTCATAAACTGCAAATATATGTACCAAGTATACAAATATTTATCTTGTGTACATTCCCCTAGATGTTAGAGGTACTCAAACAAAGTAAAACATACATTATTGCCACTTTATCCATATATGTAACAAGAAAAAATGGTACATTTGATACTAGCAGGTTAAAATATTTTTACTGGTTGATATGCCATTAGGATTTCAAGGAAGAATGTTCTCTAATATCTTCCTGTACTAGAGAAAGAGAAATGGTTTTTCAAATCTCTGCATGTGCTATGCCAACAGAGTTACAAGAGAATTCAGGTGATATTTTTATTAGAAAGTCTTACATTGCTGAAAGCAGAAAAGCTTTCAAGCTTTATGTGCATTCTGAAGGTATTTTGTCAGTCTTGAGATACCATTCAAGAAGTCTGTGCTGGAGTTTATGCAAGTAGCTTGTAGTCCTTAGAGAAACAAAGATAGTTCTATTCACAGGAAGAGGCTAAATAGTATGATGAGTAGAGGCGACTGGCTTTGCTTGACACACGTCTGTTTCCAACTGTTCTGTGACACAAAGGACCTTTCAGTAGATATTTTACATGGTTTTAAAAAGAAAACCTATTATGCATAACTGGCACAGTTACTTTATTCTGGGAGAGTTCAAATTTGCTGAGCACTCAAAAGAGCCATATTTTGTACCTGACTAAATGTTATTTGAGAATTGTGGCAAACAATATGTTGCACAGCTGGGTATGCCACTGAAAACTGCACTCCTCTATTGAATTCTCCTCTGTAACCTCTCAGAACACTTATCCCGTGTTATGACATATAGTAGAGCCAGTGATATGTGTGTGGAGAAATGCACAAAGTTATAACATCATGTCATGTATTGTATACTCTCTTACTGGGCACCATTTTCGTAGCATCACTGTGTCGCATGTGATATGTAGTTACATTCTTAGCTTTTAAATATTTTAGTTGAGTCAAAAAGGGGAAGAAAGACCAGACTTTTAAGAAGCGATCAGTAACACAATGTCTGATTTCTGTACAGGAATTTAAGTCTAGCATGTTCTTTTTGCTGTTGTTGTTTACAAACACAAGCAATGTCTGACATTAAAAAAATTGATTCACATTTCATTTTATGAGGTTGTTTGTATTCTTATTTGGTGGCTCTGTATTGGCCTGTGTTGTTGTCCCACATGAGAGTGCTTAAAAAGGTAAAGGTAAAGGTTCCCTTGCTCGAAAGCCAGTCGAGTCCGACTCTAAGATTGCAGTGCTCATCTCCGTTTCAAAGCCGAAGAGCCAGCGCTGTCCGAAGACATTTCCGTGGTCATGTGGCCGGCATGACTAAACACCAAGGCACACGGAATGCTGTTACCTTCCCACCAAAGTGGTACCTATTTATCTACTTGCAATTTCTTGCTTTCAAACTGCTAGGCTGGCAGGAACTGGAACTAGAGACGGGAGCTCACTCCGTCATGCGGCAACTCGGGTCTCGAACTGCTGAACTACTGACCTTCCACAGCCTGCAGTTCAGCGTCTTAACCACTTGAGCCACCGCAGCTCCATGAGAGTGCTTACCTTGCCATATCTCTTCTTATATATAATTGAATAGTGGGTGCCAAAGTTCTAAAATGCACTCCTTTAGTGTATGGACGCTTGAACTGTCAGTCAGAAGACACTGGCTGGGTTGACTGGCTGCTTTGTGCAGTCCCGCCCAGCGTTTCAAGGTCTTTTGCATATGGAAGCTGATTGGACTTCACTGCATTCCACACCTCAAACTCACCCCCCTCCCCGCAAGGCAGTTGGAATGTCAGTTGCATATGGAACCTTCAAGGTCTTTTGCATATGGAAGCTGATTGGACTTCACTCCGTTCCACATCTCATACTCCCCCCCCCGCAAGGCAGTTGGAATGTCTGGTGGTGTGTAGGTCCCAGGATCATGTTTTAAAAGCTGCCTGGGGGATTATGGACCATTCACACACTTTCAACCTTAACATACCTCATAGGGGGAGAGGAGAATGATGACAGCTGCTTTGGTTCCCACTGCAGGGAAAGACTGCCCTTTCTCTAGGCAGAGGCTGGGGGGGGACATAGGGTTGCCAACTCCAGGTTGGAAAATTCCAGGATATTTTAGGGATGAAGCCTGCTGAGGGTGGGGTCTGAGGAGGAGGAGGAGGAAGAGAAAGAGGAGGACCTCAGACAGATACAATGCCATACTCCCCACCCTCCAAACAAGCTGTTGCCAGTCTCCAGGTGACAGCTGGAGAGCTCTTAAAGCTCTGGTGCTAATTCAAAGTGCTGCAATTTGTCGACAGAGTAGTGTTTTGGCAAATCTTTAGGAATTGTTTGGTGCATTTACGATGAGGCACCCACCCAGAGCCTCTGGCATTTTCTCACTCTGCTGGCATCAAAACCAATTTAAGGCAAAATAAGAGGCTACTGAGAGGGGAGGAAATAAAGTTGCCAGCTTTAGGTATGGAAAATCCTGGAGATTTGAGGAGTGGAGGCCGGAGAGGGGGACATCAGACAGGTTACAGTGCCATAGACTCCACCCTCCAACCCAGCTATTTGCTCCTGGGGAACTATTGTTGCCAATCTTGGCCCAGCACCCATCAAACCATTCTCTTCAACCCCCTGCTGTGCAGCTGACTTTCCCCTAGGGTTGCCAATCTCCAGGTGGGACCTGGAGATCTCCCACTGCTACAATTGATCTCCAGATGACAGAGATCAGTTTCCCCTGGAGAAAATGGCTGCTTTGGAGGGTAGACCATATGACATTATGTGGGACCTCAGACAGGTACAATGCCATAGACTCCACCCTCCAAACCACTCAGTCCCTCATGGGGAACCATTGTTGCCAATCTCCAGGTGAGGGCTGGAGACCGCTCAAAATTACAATTGCTCTGCAGAAGGGAGGGCGGACGTCAGCTGAAGTCAAAGGGGCAGATAATAGTAGGTTGATGGTTAGCTGGGAAGGAGATGGGGTTGCCAACTCCAGGCTGGCAAATTCCTGGGGATTTGAGGGGTGGAGCCTGGAGAGGGTGGGGTTTGCGGAGGGGTGGGACCTCAGACAGGTAGAATGCCATAGACTCCACCCTCCAAACCAGCCATTTCATCCTGGGTAACAATTGTTGCCAATCTCCAGGCGAGGGCTACAGATCACTCAAAATTACAACTACTCCTCAGGGAGCAGAGATCAGTTCCTCTGGAGAAAACAGTGGACTCTGTCATTATACCCTGCTGAGGTCACCACAGCAAAATGACACTGTTTGCCCAAAGCCAGAGCACTCCCCCAGAGCCTCTTTCTAGATCCCGTTGTATTTATTTCCACAACGGGCTTTACTGCTAGTTACTTTAGAAAGAAAGACAGCAGGCTAGAAATACAACTCAGCTGTCTCCCAACATAACTGTTTCATGATAGTAAATAAATATATTTTAATGTTGGTGTAAAGATCAGCCACACCTAGTTGTCACTGAAAAGGGAAGGTTTGTTTCCAGAATATGCTATGGCAGCTTTTCTACTTACTTACTAAAAACATTTATATCCTGCCCTTCCATTAGAAATACAGGTCCTCTGGGTGAGTTACAAATTTTTTTAAAAAAAGAATATTAAAGATAGCCCAAACTTTAAAAATGTCCACTTAACCAGAAGCAAAAAAAAAAAAAAAGGATTTAAAATAAATTGAAAGGCAGACTCCCATTTTTCTTTTTACTACTAAATACATTGTCAGCCTTCAAATCAGACCATTTGCTACAGTTCAGTAGTATAACTAGCAAAAATCTTCATAAGAACCATCTTCAGCACATGATAGAATATAAAAAAAATATGGGGCCAAGCAAACTTTCCTAGGGAAGGTGTAAAGTGCTACTCTACAGAAGAGTCCTCTATCTGTTGTAACTTTCCACAGTACTTCAGATGATCGGGGCACATGGTGAAAGACCTGTGTTGATTACTCCTGTGCCTGGGCAGGTCTGTATTCCTTGCATGTCAAGCACAAGTCCATCCTAGTTCTATTCTGCTGCCTGAGCAGACAGTGCTTTTGTGAGTATATGGAAATTATATGAAAAGATGCTAAGTTAGGAAGCATTTTTATGATCTGTCATGTATTGTCTGGGCCCTACTTATTTGGGTCTAATCACCTTGTCCTGCATGTTGATATGGGTTAGGGCTATTTCTTGTAAGTGGTAAAACAAACCCCCTTAACCAGTTATGTGGCCTCCTTATTTTCAGGGACTGTAGTACTGTTGCTTGAAAACAGAAAATGATTGATTTTTTAAAAGTCTCACACTTTGAGTAATTTGTTTAACAAGAATTCCCCTCTTAACTGTCCCCTGCTTATGCTAAAAGTCTTAGTTCTTTACAGGGAAATAATACCTTCTTTCACAAGGATGGAGTATTTAGTTGGATCAATTAAAAAAAAAAGTTGAGTTCCTCACAAGCTGTTAACGCTATTATTTTGTACTAGGTGACACCCCGTTTAACATAGACCATATTGTTAATAGTTATGGGATTTTATTGAATTAATGAGACTGTTATCATGTAGTAGAATGTCTTGCTGAGTTAATTGAAACTGGAGAGATTATATAAATGGTATTAATGAACTTTGACTGCCTGGTGCCTCCGCTTTAATAAAGACTGCTTGGTGGGCTAAATGAACATAGGCAGATAAAAGAACAGGTTCAATTTTGTGAGCCTACA